TCTCTCTCTCTCGCCACACACACACACACACACACACACACACACACACACACACACACACACACACACACACACACACACACACACACACACACACACACACACACACACACACAAATATGCTCACCACTTTGTACTGGATGTACACATGTGCATCACTGCTGCAGGCTAACAAAAGAAAGGTGAAATTACAGCTCTTTCACCAGCAAATCTCCAATGCACATGTTTGCAGCTCGTACCTACAGTAACGGTAATATATCACCGATATCACAAGAAGATGAAAGACATTCGGGGAGTATTAGTTTAATAACTTCAGTTCTATCCTACGTAGCTGCAGACATCTGGGTATATAGTGTGTTGATATGTCCAGACTGTTGTGAAGCAGACAGAGATATGTAAAGATAAATATGAGCCATGACTTCACTGCACAGCTTGTCTATGGTCGATCCGGTCGAGCAGGCACTGATGCAGATATTTGGCTGAGGATGTGTTGCACCGCATAAGACAAAATGAAGAGAAAATCAAAGGAAAAAATCAAGATGTGTATAATACAATATCTCATTGGTTTGTAAATAAGAAACGTTTGGCATGCTTTATAGTAGTCACTTTCTAATGTATTATAAGAGAAAACAAGTCTTTATGGAATACCATGAACAGAATTGAGTAGTTTGTTTCATATTGCAGTGTAAAAAGCAGGCTACACAGTGGGTCAGGCTCCATCCTGCAGTTGCAGTGTTATACAGTAGATGTGTTGCTGTGCATGTTAGCTTCACAGTGTTAAACTGTCCTGTCGGTTCCCGAGCGCTTCCTCACGACCTTCTCGTCTTTGACCTGGTCCACTGCCAGAGTCTCCAGCTCTGCCTGCGGGGGGGCCATGGGAGAGGTGCTGTGGGAGATGCGGTGCGCCACACCGACATGAGCCCTGTACTGCCGGTCCCGGGCGGGGCTGTGGCGAGGGCTGGACGCAGCCCCCAGGGGAGTGAGGGGGGAGCGCTCAGAGGCGATGGGAGGGATAACGGCAGGTCGCTCCCGCACCTGTGGTTCTGGAGAGTCTCTCCCGGCCTGCAGGAAGGGTGTGGGGTCGGGCATGGCCTCTACCGTCTCCCGCATGACCATCCGCCTGCCGTCTGAGCTGAGCCGATACACCTCCGTCAGCTCTGGGTGAAGGGGCTGTGAGAGGCTCTTCTTCATGCGGCGCCGCGGGGTTTCAGGCTGCCTGTCTTTGGCCGGTGGAGGCGTGGGCTTGTAAGATGTGACTGGACTGACGTTGGGGCTGGCCTCAGATGAACTGCCGGCTAACAGCTTCTTCTTGGTGGCGTGAAGCTGCGAGGTCAGGTAAGCAATCGTGCTGGCTCTCTGTTCCAGCTCCCCGGACAGAACAGCCAGCTTGTGGCTCTTCATCTTGAGCTCCTCCAGGTACTTCTTCTCCCTCTCCTTTATGGTGTTTTCCAGGACGGAGATCATAGCGTTCTTCTGCTCAAGGTCCCTGAGCAGCTCTGTGTTCTCCTCCTCCTTCTTCTTCAGCTGGACCTCCAGCTCCTCACATCTCCTTTGCAGCTCCTTGCAGCGGGCCTCACCGCTGTCTGGACACACATAACAACAACAAAACCGGTTAAAACTGGTGTTTGCGTGGTGTCTCACTTAAGTACACACACATGAGTGCACACAATAAAAGAATAGAGACAGAGACATTTATATCCACTAGACTGGAGCAATCATTAGTACATTAAGCTCAGACACTGACAGAGACAGTGTGCTCCTATGGAGAGTCCTCTGCAGCAGGGAGCTCTAGTCTCACGTTACAGATCTGGTAGACGGAAAGGGCGCTGCTCTGCTCTGACCTTCATCATTGGGCCCATCCTGCTCTGCCACACCCAGTTAGAGCTCATACAGCTATGTACATGCGCAAACAACTTGGAATACAAAAGTTAAAGGACCCCTATTATACTGTTTTTCATCAATATATTATAGGTCTCAGATATATACAAACATGTCTCTGAAGTGTTTGGCTCCAAATACCAAACAGATCATTGCAGCATCCCATAATCCCCTCTGTTTCAGCCCTGTTTCAAAAGTGCTGATTCTCTGTCTGTTACTTTAGATGAAAATAAGGAGCCCCTCCCCACGCCCCTCTGAGAGATATTTGGTTCAAAAAACCACAATGGTTGATAAGGTGGGGGGGTGTTTGGCTAATGGTTAAACAAGCCAAAATAAAATGATGACATCATAAAGAGGCCAAAATCAGATTTTCATATAAATGGATCAGGACAAAAAGAGAGCGAATCGCCGTGGCGACACATATTTATGTATAAAATATGCACAAATCTGTCACAATATGTACATTCTCAATGTCTTGTTTACATTAACAGTCCCTAATTTCAGTCTTCTATAACTACTATTGATTGTGTTTGTAGGAGCCGGTTTACCCTATTTTTCTAAATGGGTGGTGCTGGTACATTTCCCCCCCCAGTTGGAGCAGCTGAGCCCTGCTGCACTAAGCAGGTTGCAGGCTGTGCATTAGCGCTGTGACAGATAATCTCATTTCCTGCACTCCAATCTCTGAGATATCCCACGCTAACATGATAGTGCCTCTAGCTGCAGGCCCTGACAATATTGCTCAGATCTAGGCCAGCCATGTTCAGAAGCCTACGACACGTAGAGATCCTGCTGAGGCGCAGCATGCTTCATGCTCAGTTACTCTCAGCAGGGGGGTCATCAACAGCATGTAAATAAATTAAAGTGCCTGCCAGGGGCCTCCCTGACTGTACTGGGCCGTACTTTAACCCAGTATAAAGACAGTGGAGCTGGGGCTGAATCAGACCAGTGTTGTGACTCCATGACATGACCATGGTAACGTGGGGGGAGGGGTAGTGAGCAATGAGCAGCAGGGTGTCTGACATTGCAATGCTTCCTGGGTTTGACTTTGTTACCAGGATACAGACAGAGCCCTCTGCTCTCAGGCCTGTCTCACACAGACCCTATTTCAGAGAAAACCCCAGATGTATAGCATCTTCTGTTGTAGAGCCTTGTCTGTTGTTGTGGTACACTTTCACAGTTTGAATCACTTGTTTCAAAATAAAATGTTTCTAGAAGATATACAAGAGTTAATATCATTATCCAACCAGGAGGAAAAGTTACAAAAACCTGATGCATTTCTCAGTAAATCTAATTGACACAGTGATGGAAAAACTGTTAGGAATCTGGACATGAATTAACGTGTTTGTTTGTGAACTGTGCAGCAAGATGGGGCTTACCTGAGGAATCAGAGCTTCTCACAGTGAGCTCATATGTCAGATCTGTGAAAAAAGGAAAGTGGTTACAAGTGAGTATTCATTTAACAAGATTAGTGAGAGTTCCTCTGCAGCTTTAGGAACAGGTAAGCCAAGGATACTTTATCAGGGATAAAGAGTACAGTGTCCTGATGTGACCATCTTTATATCCTGGCTTTGTGGAAGAATATATCTGTTACTGATGGGATGCTCGATACAGGTTCTGCTTTGCTCCAGTGCAGTGAACTCACTCAGGCTTGAGTGCATTTCCCCTAAGTCATCGTATTATCTCTAAAAGCTTTAATAGTGGCACCACAGTGTCTTGTTGACTTTCAGTCTCACATATCCATGTAGGTTATACCTCAAGTATACTTTACTGTTTCTTTTGCTGTTTTTATAGGTGTTCTATCCTCTCTTTCTCTAAAGGAATAGTATGGAGAAATTGCCAAAAAACAATACTAACTAAAGAAAATCCCTCTCAATCGTCTCAAAAGGTGTGTGGCTGTTCTCCACTCACTAGCCTTTGATCCTTCATTAATAATGTAATTGTTACAAATGCATGTGTGACGGTACAACTGTCCATATTCAAGACAGCAAAGGACAAGTGAATTGAGTCTGAAGCGGCGCTAAACTGCAAAAATACCCATTGTTATATTGTTTTGTCTTAACCGCTGGTTTGGCAACATGAGGAGAAGAGAGGGGCTACTTGTGCTCACCTGTGCATTGCTGTTGCAATCTGCGGATCTCTGTGTGTAGACCCTTCAACGTGCTGGCATGGTCCTGCTGCAGGAAGAGCAGGTTCTTCTGGGCACTGTGCAGCTGATTCTCCAGTGTTACATTTGATGATGCCATGGCTGATTAGGTTCAGACATAGGTGAGAGAGAGAGAGAGAGAGAGAGAGAGAGAGAGAGAGAGAGAGAGAGAGAGAGAGAGAGAGAGAGAGAGAGAGAACATAATGAAAAGTCAATCCGTCTAGCAAATAGCCTTTTAAATTCTCACCATTTGACTATAAAATATATGGGATGTGCTCCAATTTTGTTTTGTTTGGGAACCGGCCAAAACAATCTGCTTTAGATGACAGATGAACAAATCACTTTTGGATAATAACATCCAACCCATTTGCAATTGAGGAAATCTGGCACTTCTACTAGCCAATACATTGTAATTTCAACCCTGTTCATTGACAAAGCAGAGCATCAAAAACATGCTGAGGAAAAGCGAGGAGGCACATTTATTAAAATTCTGCGCAGGTGTGTAGGCAATCATCGGTAATGGCTAGGTCAAGGCTACAGTGAGACTGTAACAGAGAAACGCTAAGTGACCATAAATAGGCAGCCAGGGTTTTGCTTGCTGTATTTATCAACCAATTACTGACATGAAACTATTGATTGAGAGCCTGAGAGTAAGCAGTCGTAACAATAATCTAATCTACACTGTAAATTGTAATTTTATTAGGAAAGAGGATGGAAACATTTTTTTCTCAGCACTGACGATAATATGATAAATTTCAATTCTTAACACTGGCTTCTCTTCACATAAATACATATAACACATGTGCACGAATAAAATCTCTTTCTGCACTAAAATATCCTCTTTCAGTGTCAATTCAAATCATGGTCAATTACAGCAACAACGACAGAGAATCCCAGCTGAACACATTGGCTGACATCACAATGACACTGGGTGCGGCATGAAGGCCACCAGTCTCAAGCTGCCAAGTGAGAGGAAGAGAAACAATCACTCAGTCCCAACATCTCCACCCTCTGCCAGACAACCGTACTTGGCTGAGAGCTGATAGCACATTGATCCCCTCCTGAGTGCGGAGAAAGCCTCTCCCTGCATATATAAGTGTGCTTCAATAAAACATCCCAGAGCTCCTCACTCTTACATCATCAGCTCACTAACATGAATTATAAATCCCATAACACAACGCTGGACACAATTCCTGGTTCCAACAATCTTCTGTGTGATCTTTTCCCCCCACATGACTTACAGATCAAAAGAAAAGCATGTGATTATCAAAACACAAATGGGTTATCACAGATACAGCCAGTGATGTTCCATAAAGACTGGAGACATGATCTATTATTGATGAGTAATGTGGAGTCCTTCCGATAAACCCTGCTCCGCAAGCACATCACTCGTCCCAGCTCTTTCCTAGAATAGCTTGGATAGCTTTCAATTTGCAAAGGCATGACCTCACCTCAAAACATGGCTCATGCCATAGCGTGGCAGAGGAGGATATGACTTCAGTGATTAGAGAAAGACATTACAAAGGGTAAATCTCTTTGTTCAGGGACAATGCAGTGGGTTAATCTTTAAGGACAGAGATTAATGTCATACCAGAGGGAGATGTCTGCATTTCTTCCAAAAACACAAACCAGCATTTCCCCATACAGAGAACATAAATAATCAATGAACTGCAGCAGCATGAAACACTAGCTAGTAGCTACCAACCTTAGCCTAAACAAGAGCTTAGAAGTCTGTTTCTGAGCATAAAAATGTCCATAATTATATTTGCCTTATATACACACTAAGTGCAGTTACTTAATAAAATCATCAGCCCAGTGTACACCATTAACATAGACCCGCTGACTATACTGCAATTAATCAACACTGTCACGTTACCTTGTATGTTTTGTCTTAATATGTTCTTGTGTATTACTATATTACTTTTTTCATTCTGTTCTTATTTTTGTTCTTTGTCTGTTTGTTTATTTATTAATATATCTATATATATTTATTTATTAATCCATACTACTGTTCACTTTCAGCTACTGTTACAACATCATTATTCCTATTTAATGTCTTCTCTTTTATAGTTACTAGTAGTTTAGAGCAAATATTGTAATAACTAACCTACTCCAAGCACACGTTTATATATAACAAATTATTTAATCACCTGACACGTTAACACTATTGCGAATACATAGAAAACATATAAACAACTCACCAGTATAACCACTAAAAACAATGCATACAGGACACGAGGAGCTACGTGTTACACGGCAGGGATGCTCTCCACAGCCCTTTTAATTTCAGCACCTGCATTGCGGACAGCACCACAAACCCACATTTCAGAGCAAACTGCTGCCTGTCCTGGCCATAACGTCACCTACCAGAGGATCATCACTTCACAAAACGTTATTGTGAAACTTTAAACAGATATATCCTTCAGAAAAAGCCCTTCTTTGAAAATATCCAACGTTAGTAGTCTCAAACCGAAGCTAGCCAGCGATGCCTGTGTGGACGGCTTCACAAAGCGTCACTTTCCCTTGTTGTTTTATGACCTGATGGACAGTAACATGCCATCACTGCATCTCCTCCGGTCATCACAAAGGCTGTCCTTGCAGATAATGCTATCTACTGCAGCTGTCCAGGTTGGAGCTGTCCAGTTTTAACAACAGAAAACAAGCTAGTCCCACTATAAGCTCCACCGAAAGGGAAAAAACGTCCAGCCAAATTCCCATTGCAATCTTTCCAACAAATAATAGCCGGCTACCCACAGCAAGAAATACACCAATTTAACAATATATACATTGTTTTTGTGGCATTGGGGAGGGGTCCTGGTAAATTCGGCATACGTTGAATCCACCTAACTGGAGTTGATTTTAATAAAAGCCAGGGATTTTGCAACATTTGGCAGATTTGAGCAGCTTCCACAATGAATTAAGATGTTTCTGGTAAAGAAACAACAGACATACCATAACGGGGTGGAAATGTCACTGAAGTAAACCTGCTTGGATGCTGATTTGAAATATGTCCGCTTAGTTACGCAAATAAAATATAAGAATAAAATACAGACATTTTAATGAAACATCTCCCCACAGAGGGAGCTTTAATTTTGCTAGCCTAGCTGGACAGCTAACGACGCTACAACAGCACATTATCTCATTGATTGCTTACCTTGTGGCTAAATGAACGCAGTCGTCGAATATGTTGTGAAAGGTTGAAGATGATCGTTGAGAGAGAGACGAGCCCCACCGGCTAACAGCGTCCTGCCTCCCGGGGCATGTCGGTGATGCTGACAGGGGCTTCGCCTCTCGGTCGGCTGCGAGGGGAGGGCGGCTGTGTCACTGTCATCTCCCTGAGCTACGAGACACAATACAGCGATGCATCATGGGAAACCAGAGAAAAATCATAATGTTGGCCTAGAAGACATCCAACAGTCATTTACTATAATCATGACCTTCAACATAATTATTATACTTAATTGTTTTTTAAACAATTAGTACAAGAGCCGGAATAAAGGTGTTACTAACCTTGCAGGACATGAAATGTTGAAGCAGCAGTTTTCAGGGAGGTGCTAGGGACTTTAGTCACCAGCGTCATCTCCATAGCAACAGAATATGTCACCTGTTCAATCGTGATGCTTTCCCGCCCCCTAGTGCCAGCACAGGAGTATAGCATTACAGCGATTAAGTCAGATATCTGGTCATTGTTGAAAGCTTACTACAGTGTAAAGTGTCAGATTTAATGTCTACTCGATGCCAAACAGCCAGAATGAAGTAAATTAATGAAAGTGGATGAAAGCTGTTGGCTAGAGTACAGCTGGTTGACAGCAGAGGGTAGTATTGCCCTTTAGTGGCAGAGTAGCAATACTGCAACAGCATTACTCTTTCTCATGCTACTATTTTCTAATCCTTTTTTTTCTTCTAAATCTGTCAGTATTTGGGCTCTGATTCTCATCTTACCATTATTATTTTCCATTATAATGATACAATTAGACTTTGATCAACAAATGCTGCTAGATGTCTCTGCTATCGGCCAAATATAGTGCGGCGTGCTGTTGAAGAACTTTTGCCTTCCCATTTGTTTGACGTCTTCTACATTCTTGAGCATAGCCTACTGCTGCAGTGTGGGGTTATGTAAATAATGCACACCTAATGCAACTATTCACGTAGATATGAATCTGTTAAGATTGACACAGGCTTTATTAGAATCCAGATTGCAAACAAGTGATTGTGTTTCGAAGCTGTCAAATTTCTGTGAAAGGATTCAGCTTTGTTGGTCAGTGAAAAACTGAAGTGGAGGAAGTCAATGACTAAACTACAGGGTGATATGAGGAACCATTTTTTAAACAAAACCGCATGGACACCATATTTTGTTCAGCACAGCATGAAATTGCATTTTGTACAATTAATGAAATCCTTTCATTTTCACATACAGTATGTTTTCACACTTGTATGTCATTAGTTACTCCATAAGGTGTACAGTTTTGTATTACTATTCATATTTCCAAAATTCATTTTTTGTTAAGTGTGTTCCTTTTTAATTAATGTCTTTATCATAATGGGCAAACACTGAGTGGCAAATAAATAAAGTTAACGTTTATTGTATTCGAATATATACATTTAAAGTTATGAATGTTTATTACAGTATATGCATTGCATTTGATTTGTTAGCATTTATTCATAATAAATTGTACC